GTTTACATATGGATAGAACAGATGTGCTGAATCAAGCCAAGTATTTAGTTTTTGTTTATTATCATCGATGTAGAAGAAAAAAAAAAAAAACTGGCATCAAGAATCATTTGATCAGTGAGATGTGTAGAGAGAAAAAAAAAATGAAAAAAAAAAGAAAAGATCTTTTCATAATTACATTCTTGTCTACTCTTCTATCTATCTGTTACAGAAAGTACATTTAAAGATCTTAGAAGTGATGAGAAAAATTATTTTGTTTTTTTTTTGATAATTATCTATTTTAGACTTATATTTGACAAAAAAAATATTTTGTTTTAATTCGATATTTTTAAACAAAAAAAAATCAATCATTAGAATTGATTGTTTCAATTTTCTTTTCTATTTATAACATTTTGTCTACTTGTAGCAAAAATAATTTTATAAAAAAAAAGAAAACAAAATAAGCATTTTTTTTTTATCAAATACACTCAAAGAAAAACTGTTATTCTGAGCTAAAATTCCGATCTAATACTTAAACAATCATTATCTCTTCTAAAATGTAAATGGATAATTAATGATCATCTTCCAGGAACATTCACTTCTAACAAAAGTATATATATATATTTTTTTTCATGTTTTTTTTTCATGTCCCATTTCATGAAAGAAGACGATTAACATTGACTTCGATGAAGTATATTTTATTTTCTTTCGTATATATAATTAAGGTAATCATGTCCTGTAAACGATAGATGAGTAGAATAGAACGTACGTTTTTTAATATAAAGGAATTAGCATACTATGCATGAAGGATCATCCATTATATAACATAGTTTTTTCATTCTCTAATCGTCAGAATACAAGAGATTTATTTATGTCACATTGACAAATATTAATAGAAAACGAAACCTTAAGGGGTAAAAAAACAAGACCATCGTTCTTCATATCTTTACGTACATTTGATGAAAATAACGAATTTTTTTACACTATTCGACTTTATCTATCATTCTTTCATCAGTTAATTTTGAAATAATCATTTCCATTAATTTCCTAACGGATCTCTTGATAAAGATAACAAATGAAAACAAATTGTCATCATTCATATACTATATACTTTTATACTCATAGTTTACTGATAACCGTTTTGATTATGAGTAACTGATTTTTTATTTTTAGTTTAATAATATTCAATTTTTTTTAATATTTAAAATAGGAGACAAAATGAGAAATGATAACACAGATGATGACACAGAAATAACATGCTTTTGATCATGGTTGACAAAATTTTAAAAAAGAAACATGCAAATGATCTAGGGTACAAAAAATAAATCTTTTTATGTCAAAAGCATGAAAAAGATCAAGGTAAAAAGCATGTAATTTATATTGTTTCGCCTATATGATCAGAAAACATGGTTTAGATCTCGGAACTTGGTCCAAATGTAACTAAATATGTGCATATTACATAAAAATACATTCATCAAGGAAACATATCGCATCATTTGACAGTCTATAAATTCTTTATAACCACCTACATTTTTAAAACTGAAATGTCTCATAGAAATTAGTTAGTAATTTGTACAACTGTTACTAATGATAATATCTCATCATTCATTAAAAGTCATTATGTTTGTATGTTGTGTACGAAGTTGTTCAAAAATTATTTATTAACTACATACAAATGTTCTGAATACAGGAAATATCCAACCTGTAATTAGTAGTTGAAAATAAAACAATATCAAAATGGTAATTATGAAGCATTGTTTTTTTCTCATCACATGGTCATGAACAACGTATGATACAAATCGTCTCTCTTCTCCTATACGATATAATGTTCGTGGTATGACTGACAATGACTGAATATTCCAGTATTTCTCTACCTATTTTCATTTTTTTGATTAAATAATTGAAAATTGAAACTGAACATAAAAACTAGAAAACTAGTATAAATTAGATGGAGAATAAAGATAGTTTGTGCACTCAGAAGTATTGCGAGATCTAAAGCATGTTTATCTTAGTATAAACTTGATTAGATTTTTTTTCCCGTGATCTAATCAATGATTTCGCCATATAAAAAAATTTATTTTCCGTTATCGAGATCTTTTACCTGATTTTTGTTAAAAATTTGTCAATCAGTATCAAAAGTATGTTATTTCCGTAATCTTTTAAATTCACGTCCTTTAAAATAAATCATCTGATATAGGAAAAAAATGCATAAAGATCGATAACAAATTTATTCTTACTAAGTCACATTTATTAATGGAAATAAACAAAGACAGTTCACAGAAACTTAAATAATATGTACTTCAATGGTTTCATTATCATTTTTCATCAAAAAAACAAATAAACAATCATTGAACAATTTACCCTTTGTTCTGTGATTTTCAAATGCATTCCTTTTCATCTGTTATTTTCTATACATATATCTATTGAAAACAATAAAAACGTCGGTTTACATACGCTTTCAATTTTTGTGGTTATCTATGGGTAAAGTCGAATTTTACTTAATTAACTCTCATCTTGATAAAACATACAAAGTTGACTGACACATATATATGTAACGGTTCTTCCTGAATAAATATCCCTTCTTTACCTCTTGTTCTTTCAGTTTCCTAGAGGGTGTTATTTTTAAAAAAGATGGGCCATAAAATTCTCTGCAAAAGAATAAAAAACGATTCTATTCATTTGTTCTTTGAGATTGAACATAACTACATTATTTTCTCGGTAGGCTGTAAAAAGCTCTATCATCAAGTTCTACATCAAAGCTTGTCTACAGTAAAAACTTCTTTGTTTCTGAGTTACTTTTCTTTTTCCTTTCGAATTTTGCTGTGCTTGATTTTGTTCGCTTTATACGTTTAAGGTTTTCAGTAAAACTCGTCTAATTCGATGAAAAATGAAGGTTTTAAGATCGGGTGTGTTTTATTTTTGTCAGAAATAATTGTTCTAATCAGTTTAATGGCTAAAAGTTGAATTTCTTATACGGTATAAAAAAATTTAGTCAAATTTGATTTTTTTTGACTGGTTAGTTATTAAGGAACTGATCTGTGCTATATAATCTGATATAGATGAACTCTCCTATACATCATGAGATAGAGCATACTCGAAAGTACAAAAAAAGTAACTGTGAACTTTTGAAGAAAACAAAAACAATGTCTAGGAAACTGAAGAAACAAGAGATAAAGGAGAACTACTGAGTAGCATTTTATTTTGGACCAACCGTTACAGTCGTGTTTTGTCTTTGCACATCAAGCAAAAATAAATCTCATAGGAATTATATGATAAAAAATAATATATCCAGAAATAAGTATAAAATAAAAACAAAAAAAAAAATTTTCTCATACTATTTATTTACTATTGTTAAAAATGAGAAAAAAGTTTTTTTTTTCTTCTTCTTCTATGTGTTGGTATCTCATGAAATAACTAACAAATATTAATACAAGCAACCGTCAGAACAAATAGATTAAATGATTAATTCTTTTAGTTTATTACACGTTTTTATACTTTAGTTAGTCTCAACTGGGACATTTATCTACGTAATGGTGATAAAAAAAATCGTTTTGTTTTTTAATCAAGTATTAATGAAGTACTGTTTGGCATTCAAATCTTTTGAGATCTACCATTGAACACAAGAACTTTTCCGTAATGAAAGAAGTGATTGATCGTTTGATACCTTTATTCTTAACAAATAAAAACGTAAAATATTTTCTAAAAATATATTTATTCGATAATCAAATCCTTAAACAATATAAAATTCTTTTTATACCATTTCTAAATAAGAACGACAACAGTTATTTTGGGATAATTTACTTATACATGCAATAAATATAAGATTTTATCTTCAATATGGTTATATTATTTTTATTTCTCTTGAATATATTCTTCATTAGTATTATTTTATTGTAATGTTACACTGACAATCAAGTCAAAAAATTATACTAAAATTATACTTAAATATATGTGACAAATATGTCACTCTCTATATAAATTTTTTATACTAAATTTCGTTAGAATAAGAAAGTTTCATATAATAGTCTCTCTGCTTGTATATTTCGTCGTCTTGATGGTGTTTTTTCAACGCGAAAAGTATCAAATAGCTATTGTTATAATAATAATGGTAAAACAAAAAAAGAAAAACTAGTTTTAAAATACTCTTAATGACATGTATCTCTAAATTCAAACACAAACGAGAGAGAGAGAGAGCGAGAGAGAAAGAACACAAATGAGTAAAAGAAAATACTTATCGCTATTAAACTGCGATTAGAGCTTTCCATTTTCTTTTCCTGTTATATCTTGCATGTATAAATAGCCAGTTGTATTTTCATTCATGTTTAGAAAATTGTCAAAAAAAAAAGGAAAGAAGAAAGACAGAAACATCAATCGTTGGTGATGGTGGAATGAACGGAACGAAAAATTGAGAAGGACATGAGATGTGTGTCTAAGTTCTTTCTTATTTCATACAACTACGTCAATACGCAATTTTCCCCTTATTTTGTTTAATAATTTCAGTATACACAATGGCATTTTCTAGTTCAATACGTTTTGCGTACTAAAGTATAATTCAATTTTTAACAAAGTTACCAATTTCATTCAAGAGTAAGAGAGTTATTTATATAAATTATCTGTCAAAATAGTTAATGATCTATCGCTTGATCACCTTCACCATATCACAAAATGTATATATTTGAGTATAATGTCAAAAAAGAAATTAAAACAATCTATTCTTCAATGTGTGACAAACGAATATTTGTTGGTATATTGATAGTGTTACATAGTATTTATCAAATTTCCAAAACAGGCTCATTCGTTCTCCTTTTATTTTTAGACAAATGAAATCACTATTTTGATTTTATAAAATAACGACAGATACAATATTTAAAACATTGCACATTTGCATTTAAAAGGAAAATAAAAGAAAATGTCTGTAAGTAGTAGAAAAAAAAAGAATTGTTTTGTTTTTTTTACTGTTTGTGAAAAAATAAATATGGGTAACACAGAATATCTCTATTATCAATGTTTTATGAATAATATATTTATGAAATTTTACATATTTCAATATTGGTTTCTGATGTTACTGCTGCTGTTGGATCAAATAAATAACCAATAATTGCTTTTATCATAAAACCCGTCGAACCAAGAAGACTAATGGGTAAATTATAAAAAGCACTATACGCATCAGGCGGATTTGTTTGTTGTTTGAACAATTGTACAGCTTCACTAATCAACTAAATTTCATAGAAGAGAAAAAGTAACAAAAAATTATTAGAAAATTTTAGATATTCTTACATAATCAAAATCGAGAGTTTTCAAAAAACGAAGTTCTGGATTTCGTCGTAGTAATACATTGATTAATTCAAACATCTAAACAAAAATACTAATGAAGATAATGGAGAATAATCAAAGGTGAAAGAATGCTAGAGTCATTATTCATTTTCTTCATTTTAAAAGCTTTTTTGATGAATGCGATCAACAATAACTTGTGAACAAAACTGTGTACTGAGAATTTCAAAAAACTTGAAATGAATTTGAAAAAATCTTTGCGCTATGGATCTCTTGAGAAGAGTCGAAAAATTTTTTTTCTAAATATCAGAGTAAATTTTCATCAGACTCTATAGAATCGACTATGTTCATAACGAACTTTGCATTACTTTGCACAGACGGAAAGCATACGAAGTGTTCAAGTCATATAAAATATATGTTTTTTCTACGTAAAGATACTTGGTCTAATCAAATCAAGTCAAATTAAGTTTTAAAAAGCCGATTTTTTATACTTAGATAATAAGAGATAAACCACCTTAATAAGCATGAAAATAATTTAATTTCATACTTATTAAGGTAGTTTATCTCTTATTATCTATATTTAAATTTTTCACCTTAAAAAATTACTCGATTTTTTATTTGAGCTAGGAGTAAAGTTCGTGGATAATAGTATATTTCATATTGTTGTTAAACTTAACCGCCACATGATCCTACGAGTATTTGATACCATCTGATACAGGTAAGCAAAGTAATGCAAAGTATAAAATAACACACAACAAAAGAAGTTTTCTTGAGAATTTGATAAAAGTATTTTTGACACTGACAATGGCAATATTCGTTATGAACATAGTCGATTCTATAGAGTCTGATGAAAATTTACTCTGATATTTAGAAAAAAAATTTTTCGACTCTTCTCAAGAGATCCATAGCGCAAAGATTTTTTTCAAATTCATTTCAAGTTTTTTGAAATTCTCAGTACACAGTTTTGTTCACAAGTTATTATTGATCGCGTTCATCAAAAAAGCTTTTAAAATGAAGAAAATGAATAATGACTCTAGCATTCTTTCTTTATAATTATTACTTCGACAACAAGACATCTGTATGGTGGATCTGATATCCGACTCAACATTTCATCGATTTTTAATGAAAAATTTAGTTCATAATCAGTCATATCTGAGAGTGTCGGTTGCTAAATAAAAAAAATAGATTTTAAGAACAATTTGCAAAGAATCAGCTACTTCCATACCTGTGGTAATAAATAATCGCATAATTTGATACCTCCAGGTGTTTTTTCTAATATATACCAAGCATGTTCAAAAAACTGAATTGGAACACGGCAGAGAGCACCGTCCATCTGACGCTTTTGAAAATAAGTACTTTAAGAAAATGGACGAAAAAAAGAATTAGCATTATTATCGAGACAAAACTTTAAATATTTTACATAAACTACTACTAATAATATATGTGAAAGACTTCTCCTTTTCACTAGGCTTAGAATCGGATCATATAATAGAAAATTGATTAAACACACATACCGACGTTCAGCTTCAGCTCTATCTTGAAATAATTGGACATTAAACGTTAGCACATAATAGAGTAACTGTTTAACTTCATTTGGAGATAATGTATTTAATGTCTGAAAAGCATAGCTAATATGAATTAGTCATTAGATTATGTTAACATAATAAAACTTACGACAAGATCTTCGATATCGGCTTTGAAATTATCTAATCCGAGTTTCATTGCCTCTAATATCCATCTAGAAAATAAGACAAAACAAAATGTCAAATCGAGCAAGCAAGAAGAATATCCAAAAGTTTCTATACTACACGTTCAAAATGAAAAAGATGAAAGATGAAGAACGATACCCTAAACGTAATTTTAGTATTCCATTAAAAAGTTGAGGATTTGTCGACATCAATGTTGAAACATTAATGAGTAATTCTTGTAATAATACGGCATGAAATTCACTTCGCCCAAATACACTATCACCATATAATATATCAAATATTTCTTTTGGACGCATTGGTTTGTCAATAACTGTCTCATCATGACCAAATACACCAATGGTTACCTAAAAGAAGAAACTCAATAGTGAATCTGTACTTCAACATATATAACTCTTAGTTTTCTTATAATTTACCGTTTTTCCACGAACAAGTAAATTTGTTAGCGCCGGTGCTAAACTATCTACCATTTTGTGTAAAATACTTGAAACAAAGCGAAGTATAGACCTGTAAAATAAGAAAATAGTTTATATTAGTTGTACATCATGTTCTATATTTCTAATAAGTAAAAAATATAATATAACACAGAAGAGACAACATGGTTGTTTCCATTTTCCTGGAAAATGATAAATCTATAATAGATTGAATCAGGGAATGAAGCTATTTATTCTTGTACTTACATAAGATTTTCTGTTATGACACGACACTTATTGTTCTGTGTGTGTTTGAGAGGGAAGAGTGTACCATGTGAGAGTGAACCACTTTATAACATTTCAATACTTATATAGCTAGATTCCTACATTTCTAGAATGAACTCTTAGTTTATTGTACAATTGTATCTCATGGAATCCTGCCGTTGTAATATATCGTTACTATACCGTTCTTCGCTCAAATTTTAGTGACAACTAGGTCCATTTAGAATCACAGAATATAAGGATAGTTTCAACGGTCAATAAGTGTTTTTCTAGAAAATGGAAACGACCATCCTATGGAGCTTTTAAATTATACCAGTGTTGTATTTCAGCCGCCTCTTTTCCAATCATTTCTAAATATTCACGAACTCGTCGATGATCAATCATTAATTCTAGACCACCTTGTTTATAGAGTTCATATACGCATAATGTTTGTATGCGTAAGGATGATACAGATGTGTCCGTATTTTTCAAAATCTCACGTAGTTCGTGTGGTGAACGATTTTTGAAATCCTTTTCACAAAAGAAAATGAAATTAGAATGTTTTTTATCCTAGACATTAGATGGAGAAGTGACGCATACATGATTAACATAGTCAAGATCTTCAAATATAATTGGTAATTTTGACATATCTGTTAAACTTTTATATTGGCCACTCTCATGAACACTTTTAGGCTCGTTAACAGGATTAAAATGTAGTTCAACCGCTTCAGAATTAAAATTTAAAAAATCCAAATGTTCGATACAAGCTGCGGCTATCGATGTCTAAAGAGGAATGAGCACTTTATCACCAAAACTAAAGGCGAACAGAAGAGCTTACCTGAAGACGTTCAAGACGAACAGTGATGTTTGATGATAATTTTCCTTGGCGAATTTGTGTTAAAAGTTCTAATAACTCAGCTTTTTGAGGACCCCTTAAAATGCGAGAGAAATGACAAATGGTTGTTTGGAAAAAGTTGCTAAAGCTCGAAAAAATAACAAGTGAGTAAAGTTAATCTAAGAATTACCTTAGATGTTGTTCTCGTAGAAGCATAATATATATTGGACGACCTTTTAATTTCCAACATTTTGTTAAAAATTCGAAGTCACTCTAAAACATACAAGAATTATTAGGTGACGATAGCAAACTGTTAAGGATTCGTCTACGGTTTGTTCTCGTCAAGCAAAGAAATAATAGTCAAATAGACAGACATAATCAATAATCCTCTCAAAATTGAACATACCCGAATATTATCCAGAAGTAAATTATGATCGGCTGACATATAAAAATCGTTTGTTTCAAATGTCAAGGGATAGGCGACGACTGTTTTTGAGCATATACGATAAACCTAATAATGGAAAACATACTAACTAGTATAAACGAAATGATGCGTCTAGCTTACTTTACACGTTCCGAGAACGCCAATCGGACGATTTGGCCTTCCAGAAAATCCAAATTTTTCATTAACACCTAAACTTCCATACGCCTAAATAAATATTCATTCTTCTTCATCAAAAGCTTCTTCATGTTTATTCATATCTTTACTTTGACAAGCTCTCCTGTGAAGCAGAATAAACTTATATTTTATAAAACTGTTTCAAATATCTATAACTACAATGGGTACCTGGTGGCCAAATTGTGATCGGTTCGATTTGTTTTGGAGTTTGTGTTTGTATTCCGTATGTGGCAAGTACCTTGATGAGATAATGAAAGTTTTTATTACTTTGGAAATAAAATCATCACAACGATGAAGTATACCTGCTGTAATCGTACACTCTCAGATATCGGTACTACATGAATAACTAAGTCAGAATAAGTAGCCTAAAACCATACAAGATGTCTGACAGTCGGTTATACTGGTATCTTCATCCCCTTACGTCTGATCGGCTATTAGGAATTGACTGTCTTTTATTGTCTGGCGATTGCAAAGCTTTTAGAGAAGAGATTTGTGTATGTTGGTAACGTACAGAATCCTAAAAATAACAAAAAATACTAGCTGCTGATACAAAGAGCATCCATGTAATAACCTGAATAGATGAATAACGCGCATTTGCCTTTGGTCTATCGTACGGTGGTAAATATCTTCTTATAGGATCAAGATCACTGACTGTTAATAATTTTTCGACTAAAACCACAAAAATGAACAAAAGTAGCTGGTTCAATGAGAAACGTGTCTCTCTCTCTCTATTTACGTAGTAGTTGGCAAATAATCCAAACAGATTGACCCAATAAGAAAAAATTGCCATTTAAAATTTCTTGACTAGGTACAAACAAATTTTGATTATTACCCCCACCACGTTCACTTGTTTCACTTTGACTACTACTCTGCTGTTTTGCTTGATCAATATAAAAATAATGGATCATCATTTCACCTAAAATAAAAGCATATGTTTACAAATACATGTATTTTAATGCATAAAAATTAAACGCTACATATCCATTACATGCTGAAATGAGTCACCGTCTACCAAACAAAAAAGCAATGTTCAGTTCAAAATAATTTTTTTAATTTAATGCAGCCACTTCAATTTATCAACATGACCAAGCACAGTGGGCATTTTTCTATAGAGCAGGCGGACATATGCTGTAGAACTGGTATGAAAGCCTATAAACATGTTTTTCTATTGGTTTTCGAATATGCTCTTTCTAATGATGAGATTTTCAGAACTCAG